TTGTCAAATAAAGAGTTAACCTGTGTGTACTAATGATGAGCAAAGCAGCGAATCAACACTTTGCGTACACTTCATTTGTGCGTCTATTTTGGTGTTTTAATGAATGCACATATAAAAAAGCTTGAGAAATAAGAAGCTCATAGGCGACAGACATTCCCGACTGTGTCGTGATGACAACAAAACTGTTCCAGTCACAATAAGATCAGTTGAAACAAACAGAGAACAAACAGATGCTTGTGTTTGGCAGAGCTGTCCAGACATAACTTGCAGACTAATCACAATCACATACTTGGTAAATGAAAACAGCGGCAAAAATTGTGTAAACTGCTTTCGTGGCAGCCTTCAATGTTGTGATATCATTAATAAACATTGTTTCACACATAGACACTGGCATTTACAGCCAAAACCTACTATTGTATTACATCTTTTATATCTAGCTGTAGCTTAAAGGGTAGCTGAAACAAATGTACAAGTATTTCCTAGTGCTCTAGTGGAGAACACATCCAATTTCTCGACTGCTGCTACACCTGACTGAAACTGCAGCTCTATAAGTATAAAAGGTTTTTGCAGTGACAAAACAAATGGATATATTATTAACTTCCAGTTAATTTCTGGTGACATAAGCAACAGCAACCGTTGGCGATGCGGCAAAGTCATTTCAGCTTTAGACAAATGACCTTCAATTTATTCAATTAAAAATTCAATTCCTGAATCATCAGTTCTGAATTTTGTACCTTATATACACATCTGTTTCCAATCTGCATTTTTATGCATCATTACAAAATTAATTGCTATTAATTTTGAACAACCCTGCTGAAACCTGATCTTGTTTTATCCTTAATGAGTGGGTTTGTATCTACATCACTAATAACTAATAACTATAAACAATATTTAAAAAAAATCAATATATTATAAAAACCTGACAAAATACGTTTACTTGAAATTTGACTGTATTGACATCAAAACTTAAACAAACATGCAAACAAATACCATGCTGGCAGAACATGTGCACAAGTACAAGGAACAATTTTTAATAAAAGAATTGAAGGTGGTGTTTGTGTGCACTTGAAAATTCTACACACGTTTTGTCATCCTGCATTTTTACGCAATAACGCAAAATCTGCATAAAATACAGATATGGAAATCCAGATACTGTCTACATTATATTTGTCATTTAGTCATTTGCATAAATTGAAATAACGTTGCCACATCTCTGACAGTTGTTGTCACTTATATCACCAGAAATAATCAACTCTAATTGTTTCATTTGGCATTTTCATACACAGTGTGTGCATGATTTGTGCACAGAGCAAAATTTTGATAATGTGCAAAAAACAATGGCCACATACACACTAAAGTTCCAGGAGTGACAACTGCATTTGTATTTTATGTCCTTTACCCAAAAAAGGAACACCGTTTAAGGCATTTACAGGCCTAAGCATTATTGGTACAAGATGAATGTCATTCTGTGTAGCATCTGCACTCAGTTACTGCCATTACTGCAGACTTTGCAAAAGTGCAATATGCTTTATGACGTGCTGTACACTAATGGCCACGTGGATTTGTCGTCAGGGCAAGGTGTGAGATATTGCTTTGGTTCAACGGGGCTGTAAATCTTTCCCATGCTTTTGTCTTTGCTCTGCCAGCAATTCACACTGATGAATAGGCTTTGTCACATTAATATCAACATAGTGTAGTGTCAAACTGCATTACATTGCAGTTACGTTCCTTAGAGCGATGCATTTGAAATGTAACCCCCCCCCGTGTCCTCCTAAAGCGTTTTAAAAGCTCCCCACGGTCCTGTACCCAGGTATACCTGTGGTATCAGGGTCATGTCTTCAAATTATTTCTCTTAATTTTTAAATTGTCTTTCTGTTGTCCTCCACCATGAAGCTACTGCACCCCTGCGAGCGGCATCTTTTCAATCCATTGAGATGAAACCCAATTGAGAAGGTTCACTGATGAGTCAGTAGGTGGTTAGTCTGCGGTGTGGTCGCCAAGTTTGTGTGGTTATTTCCTACTAAATTGTGATTATTTTCCTGACATCTGTAATCCAGTGTTTTCTGTCATCTGTTTCCAAAACTCTGTCCAAAGGCAAAAAATAATATGTGACAGCACACAGCCAGAGTGACAACCAGTTCAACATTTTATCCACTTTAATCAACATCAACAAGAGGCAACTTGACATGGAATTAATTAATGTAATTACTTTCATGTGGATTTAATTTGGCACCATAGCAGCTTGATCTTTGCAACTGTCAGCTCCCTGATAAAACGAGGGAGGAGTGCGTTATGTTTGTACATGGCCACTGGCAAGCGCAGAGTGCAAAGTGTCAAAGGCTATTTTTAGATTGACTGAGGCCCAACAATTGAGCCTTCTGCCATTTGTTGTCCCATCACAAAAGAGTCAGAGCCCACACATGCAGAAATCTGGAGTGGCTAAGAGAGTAGGTTTTTTTTTTTTTGGCCAATCAAAAGTTTGAGGTCAGTAAGATGTTTTAATGTTTCTCAAACACTTATGCTCCCCAAGGCTGCATTTGTTTCATCAAAATACATTAAAAAGGGTAATACTGTAAAATATTATTACAATTTAAAATAATTTTTTTAAAAATGTGTATATATTTAAAAATGTAATTTATTCTTGCGATGGCAAAGCTGAATTTTCATTACTTCAGTCTTCAGCGTCACATGACCCTTCAGAAATCTTGTTCATTTGTTATTATAAATTTTGAAAACAGTTCTGCTTTTTACAGTAATATTTTTTTGTAGAAACAGAAATATTTTGTAACTTTATAAATATATGTACAGTAACTTTAGATCAATCTAATGCATCCTTTCTGAATAAAAGTATAAATTTCTTTCAAGAAAAAAAATAAACTTATGGACCCCAAACTTTTAAACAATAACAAATATTAATATAACAATCCTTTAGTACCATGACATATACTGTATCATAGCACCATGGTACTATGACCTATTGACAACTACACAACAGTAACAGTACAATACGCTTTTGCACTAAATGTCATGATTCAGTGAGATGCAGCACAATATCATAATTGCATCGAGATTGAAACTGCGAGTGAGAAAGAGACTGAGTGTGTGAGGGAGAGAGAGAGTTAATCTGCGGTATCAGTTTCAATCTCTCTTGTGCGGTTCATTTCACTTTTGTCCAGTGCTGCATCTCATTGAATCAGTTCTGACCATGCTGACAAATGCTGGTTTCAGATTTTACGCTTATTTGGATGACTTACTTCTTCAAGTACTGAACTGTAGAAAATGATGTAAATCAGCACATAGATAAATACAAACAGCAAAGAAAATAACGGCATAGCTCTAAAGGAATTGAGCCTGGTTTATTCCATAAAATTGGGAAGTGGAATTGAAGTGATAGCACCACGTTTCTGAAGGCACATTGGATGAGTAGATGTGCCTGTAATATTGCAAATAATGTTAAAAGTCACATTCTTTCACCTAAACCAGGGGTGTCCAACCCTGCTCCTGGAGAGCTACCTTCCTGCAGACTTTAGTTTCAACCCTGCTCCAGCACACCTGTCTGTAATTACCAAGCAACCCTGAACACCTTGATTAGCTGGTTCAGGTGTGTTTGATTGGGGTTAGAGCTGAAATCTGCAGGATGGTAGCCCTCCAGGAGCAGGGTTGGACACCCCTGACCTAAACAGTCAAGCTACGATTTTAAATTTTTGAACAACAACAAATATATTTTATACTGTGCAAACATTTTATTAATGTTATTAAACTAAGTTTAAATTTGAGTTTAATATAAAATTTATTGATGGTGTATAATAATGAAAAAATTCTTCTTCACACTGCTGGTTCAGCTAATATTTTCTCCACAGTGCCATCTAGTGTTTTGGAGAATAATGCAAATGTGGCGAAACATCAAGTTTAAAGTGCTGTGCGCTATACTTACAAAAAAGTTTCACGGACTAATTTAGTCCTATTTATGTGATAAAAATGACTTTTGGAAACACATTCATTTTCAAGACACTAAGGAGAATTTGGACAATCAATGTTATTGCCACCTATTATATTCTACTTTAAACACTAATACTACTACAATATCTAGTCCCAAATGAGCTGAACAACATGGGATGCATTTTATAACAGATTGATGAAACTCTAAAAGTTTAATGGACAGTCGAAACAGCATGAAAAATAATACAGAGCTGCTGTAATAGAGCCCAATACAACACTTTAACATCAGATGAATAACGAGGTCCTAAACACCTCTGGGATCTAATTTAGTGCGTTTTATCCTGCTGTAATACAAACCCAATATCATATCTGCAAAACAACCATCATTTAATGAGCCATACAATGTTATATTAAGACAAACCACCAGTATACAGGTTCCCCTCCAAATAACGCAATGTCTTGGAGATGTTATAATATTATTGATGATTGTCACGCTCTCTCCTAACAAGAGATCAAAAGGCCTGATCGGAGCAAATCTGTCTTTTGCCGCATGGACATGTATTCATGACTGAATTCCTCTCTCAGTGCAAGCCTTATTCTGTCTTATTAGACTCGCACTGATATTGATTGATTTGCAGAGCGAACTCCACAAATCAATTTCTCCCATTGCTTTGCCATTCCAATTATTCCTCCCGCTTTGTTTTCATTGAACCACATTCTCTACTAAAACAGAAAAAAATGACGGACACGCTCATCCACTAATGCACTTGTGTGTGTTCCCGTTCATGTTTGGTCTCGGACTGGATTGCGGTCTAGAAGGAAAAAAACAGGCCCTAATTACACCTCCGAATTTGCAGACTCTGGCAGTGTGCGTCTGAGGTAATTACCGCACTGACACACTTTTACACCGTTCCAGGGTGTAATTAAGATCGCGGATTCATGGGTACTAATATTGTATGAACAGTTGTTAATGACGCTTTGCTTGGAGGAGTTATAATGAAATTATAATGGCGCAGTTAAGAAGGTCAGTTGTTTTCGGCGGCGGCACGGAGCGTCCTTACCTTTTCCCACTCTCTGTCCTTGTTCAGCACGATCACAACCAGTTTGGGATGCACCTGGTAACCGTCCTCGGTGAAGGACAAATCTCTGCCATCCCAAGTTACGTTCATCATGTACCTAGAGGAAGCAGAAACCTCATCAGATTCAGAAATAAAGCAGTCAGGTGACACAAATCTTATCTGCTGCAGTAGGCATGAAAATAATTTTTCAGCCTAATGATGTTCATTCTATACCTAAAACATCAAAATAACATATGAAAATCATTTTCAACATGCAAGCAGACAAAAAGAGGATTTAATGAGCCATCTGAAGACTAATGACTGACCTAAATCAGACTCCACACATTAAGCGAAGATGAAAAATCTGCCCGAGTTATTATTAGTATCCAATGAAATCTACATGAATCACTACTATTCCTTCTTTTGTCTCCATCTTCAAAGAAATAGAAAGAGAGAGCATGTAGATATAAAACAGAAGAGACCAGTCTAAGGAAACATTCTGGGTTCAATACATGCTCTTTGATATCATTTGTGGAATTAGATTACCACAGAAATTAATTCTGACTGGTTTCTTTTTAAGTATTTATTTTTATTATTTTTTATTTTTATTTTTTGGTTACAGTGCAGAAGTAAACCGGGCCAGCATTCCGGAAGACTGAAAAACGGGAAAGTAAAGCTTATATTCTTATGGAATTTCAACAAGTTGTCCAGAGATCCCCAGGGGTCCACACGGTGGTGCTAGTAGGTCCACAGAAAATTTGAAATATTTTTTTTTTAATGAAATATATTTGTAAAAGTTAACATGTTAACTTTTCCGTTTTGTTAGATTTACCATAACTCATAGTATTACTACTTCATTTATCTTTCTAACGTTGGAAATTATGGGATGATGATGATGATGATTGACCCTAATTTTTATCAGTAAGAAATTTAAAAAAAAATCTTTATAATGTTTTTGAAAAAATTAAAACTTTTTTTTAAGTATTTTTAATTTATATTTATTTTTACTATTTTTTTAACATATTTATTGTCTAGTTTGAAGTCCCCTGGCAAAAAGAAAACTTTGAAAACCCCTGGTCTTAATGTTTTTTCTTTCTTTCTCACAATATTAAGGGTGTTGATAAAACCAGATGGGCATTTTTTTAGGGAAAGTAAAACCCAAGTGAATAGAGTCTGGTTTTCACAATGCCACCCTGTTCCTGTCATATCACTTTAAAAGCGATAAACCGAGGAACACGTTGTGTTGCCATCCCACTTTTCACACCATGTCGTCAGGCATCCCTCAGAGACCCGAGTGGCAAACACCGGCTGACACAAACACATCAGACTGCCCCTCTTCCTCAGTAATTACAACCCAGCCATTTTAACAAACCCTGCGGCACGGGTATGGCCTGGTGGTAAGTTTTATGCTGCAATACTACCAGGTGAGCAGAATTAAAAGTGTGGCATGATGATCGATTTATGAAACGGGTCTTAGTGGGCGTCTAGTGACTGAATGGCAGTGCAGCTTGTTGAATTGATTGGGGTCCCATTTAGGGGGAGAAGCAAAGGCCCACTCACCCTAGATATATTGCTGAATCCAATTACATCAGACTGCGGGAGAGGAAGAGAATCGATAAGCTCTGCTCTCCTCCACTACAAGACATGTTTCCATTCACACTGGGCTCCCTTATTTATTTTAAAACTTCTTTCATATTTTACACCTCACCCAGTTCCCTTTGCTGTGACCTGTGGATAACTATACTGGTCACACCTGCAGAGCCCCTTTTACCAATTACTGAGGAAAGCAGACACTGGACACAGTGTGTCAATCGAGCTTTAGGTTCTCAGCAGAATCGCAGGAGTGTGAGTTGTGCTCATTAGTTTAGTATGTTCTGTCACTACTAGACTTGTGGCGTTTGGACTGGAAAAACCATAGTGACAAACAGAACAAAAATAAGTGATGGGGGGGGGAGAGGGAGAACTGAATGAAAGGAAAATATTTGCATATTGAAAAAGTGGCAAAATTTATCTTGAACTGCCTCTAGACGTGTTATGCCCTAATTTTTGAACCAAGTGGACATTTAGTGCAACTTCCAAAATATGTAAATTATATATAATAATTTATAATATCTATCTATCTATCTATCTATAATGTACAACAATATATTTACCTATATAGTACATCATTAAAAATATAATGATGTACTTTTTTTTTTAAATAACTTTTTTTCCCCTGTGGAACACAAAATGAGAAAATAGGTTGATATGAAATTGTCAAAACTGTTTGAACTGCGTCCTCTAGGGATCGCTATGGGGAACGCCTCGATGTGACCCGTGTCTGAAGCATACATTCAAAACAACAACAACACGTTGGCCGGCGACAGCCTATGACGTCACTACCGGTGCGACCACAGTATAAAGAGGCGCCGGGAGAACGCGTCATCCTATTCTTCGTCTTCAAGTGACTGTTTTGTTTGAAGCGTGCATTCCGGTGGTAAGAACGATCTTTTCTTCCCTTGTTATGGCGAGCACTAGCAAGATGTTTAAGAGGTGTGTGGATCCGTTTTCGCATTATCTGACACCTGATGACACACATGATCTTTGCGTAGTTTTTTTGTGCGAAGAGTATGCACGCGATGTCCTCGAAGGGGCAATCTGCATCCACTGCGAGCGTTTTTCAATAAAAAAGCTTCGCTCTCGTCTGTCTCTCTGTTCGAGGAAAGAGGGGCAGCCGTCTGCTCCCCGCGGTTCAGTACCCGCCGCTGCTGAAGCAAGAAGGAGAATGAGTTCGTGGGGGTCGCAGGCAGATCTGGCCGATGAGTTTAAAGAAGGGCTTTCCCTCTCGCGCTCGTCGGCCGCGGACGAGGGTGAGCTGCTGGATGATGATGATGTGATTTCCCTAACATCATCTGATCCAGCGGCCAGTGCTCTGCTGGGTTCTGCCCAGGAAGAGCAGGAGATGTCTGAGGGGGGAGAAGAAGTTGAGACTGAGTCCTCCCAATCCTCCTGCCCTGCGTATGATTAGCTTTTGGAGGTTATGGAATGCGCCACGGTGAGGCTTGACTTGCCGTGGAAGCAGGCCAGGAAGATGGCGCCGCGAGGTCGTCTCGACGAGCGTAATCTATCTGACCATAGCCCCCCAGCTCAAGTGAGCCTTCCTTTTCTTCCTGATCTACATACGGAGATCAAGAAGGAATGGAAAAGGCTGTTTCCCTCCCGCATCCATAGGTTCCAGCATACGAGTTATGCCAACATCGAGGGGATGCACGAAAGCGGCTATGAGAGGATGCCCCCTATAGAAGAGATGCTGGCTAGCTATCTCTCTGTAGGAGAGACATCCTCTCTCAAGGCTCCCTCCTTACCATCTCCTTCCCCTTCAGGATACATCTCGCTTGAATGGCAGGGCATACGCAGCAGCAGGTCAAGCTGTCGCTTTGTTGCTCTGGCTCTGAGGAGAAACAGCTCTCCGCCCTCACTGCGGGAGGGTCCCTTTGAGCTTGCCGGTCCTGGGCAGACTGGGTGAGTCCTCCTCGCGACTCGAGAGTTAGGTCCTCTACAAAAAGTTCCTCTCTCTCTTCGCAAGGGGTTGAACCCTCCGTTCTTGAGCTCCGTGGCAGTGACATCAGGTAGTTGGGCCGCTTGCTGTTTCCCTGATAAACGGCTTCTATTCGGGTCAAGCCAGGCAGTGCTCCCCTCACCTCAGAGGGTTGTCTTTGAGCCTGCCGCTCCCGATTGAGTGTCTGAGGACTTCTGGGCATCTGTGAGCAGATGCTTCGGAATCTTTCTAAAAAGCACTCTGCGCACTTTCTAAAATCCTGTATGGTAAGGGTTACGCTCTGTCAGCCTCATTCCCTTTCTCTGAGTTGGCTTAGGCCCCGGTACTCGCCTTGGGCTCCACTCAACTAATGTATCTCTGTTGATACATTTCTGAGCAGGATGAAAAAAAAATGCATGTTTGGGCCCTGTTGTTTCCAGGCTCTGCGGGTCTGGTTAGAGCAGGACCCATGCTCTCTATCGGGTAGAGAGCACGAGGCTGGATTGGGGTTACAATGCCTTTTATCTAGTCAGCATCGCTCCCCTCACTGTAGAGGGTTATTTATGAGCATGCTGCTTCCTTCCGAGCATTTGAGTTCCCTCCCCTTCAGAGGAGTTGAATTCCCCACTCCGTGGGCTATTCTCGTGGATGGACTTTAGCAGTGCTCCCCTCATTCAGAGGGTTGTCTATGAGCACGCTACCCCTTTTTCTGAATTCGGAGTTCTCCTCCCACATGGAGAGTTGAGTTCTCTGTTTCCCAGAGCACCTGGAACCAGCAACATCAGGCGAACTAGGCCCTTCCTCAGTCTGGTAAACAGTCTCTAGGGCCCCTTAGCAATGGTATCTTTAAAATCCATGCTATGGTGAGTGCGCACGCAAAGTCTCTGTGCACTTCCTAAAATCCACGCTGTGGTAAGTTCGCACATCAAGCATTTTGCGTTCTTTAGTAGGGGTTACGCGCTGCGGCTTCGTGCCTTTTCTTTGAGTCGGTCAGGCCCCAGTTCCACCTTGGGCACCACTCTACCTATGTATCCTCAGTGATACCTACTTTAACAGGGTGTTGCTACTAGGGGTCTGTTGAGACAGTTCCTTCAGCAAGCTCATGCAGAGCAAGCGGTAGCCCCCTGGGTGACAGGCCAAGACCTAGTTACGATTCTATGCGCTTGGTCAAAATTCCCTTGAAAGGGAACATCTTAGGTTACGTATATAACCATGGTTATATATAACGAGACACTGCGTCCTCTAGTTTCCTTGCCATGCTTCGGACGCAAGCTTCAGACGAAGAAGCGGATGACTTGTTCTCCCGGCGCCTCTTTATACTGTGGTCGCACCGGTAGTGACGTCATAGGCTGTCGCCGGGCAAAGTGTTGTTGTTGTTTTGAATGTATGCTTCAGACACGGGTCACGTCGAGGCGTTCCCCATAGCGACCCCTAGAGGACGCAGTGTCTCGTTCCCTACTCAGGGAACCATGGTTACATACGTAACCTGAGACATTGTTTTTCAGACACAAAAAATAAAATAAAATAAAATGAAAATAGGGCTTGCACACTAACCAATGCCTTGTATATATAAATTATTACTATAATTTTAAAGTATTACA